AAATTACTTTCTGTAGATCTTCAGCTATAGTAAGTACACCCAGACATACAAACAGAACGGCAGGGGAAGAACTAAGGTGAAGAATTCATTCCAAACTTACCTAAACAGCAAACACCACTACCGCTAGCACAGCTACCAATGCTCGCCCCTCCTCTTATGCTACAGGCCGTGTCAGACATGCAGACCCCCTCCAAGCCGTTAGAACCAACACACGGCGTGTTAACAAACCTCAACAGGGTGAAAAACGAGGCTGAGGAGCGTAAAAAACAAAACATTTAGTTAGTAAGAAATACAAATGAAAAGAAAAAAACTGGGATTTTCTCCAGTGACTTAATTTTTCACATTTGAGAAATCAAAGCGATCAGAAAATCAAGCTGTTCGTCTACAATTAATAGTACATCGAATAATAGAATATAAGTAGTTCTTCCAATCAACTCTACTGGACAAAAGAGTTAACACAAAACACGTAAATAACGAGTTTAGAAAATAACGATCTTTATACTTTCGATATATATAAGATATAAAAGATTTTTTTTATTTTAACCAACGTTTCGTCTGATGAAGCAGCGAAGACTAAACATTGGTTAAAATAAAAAAAAAATATTTTATATATATCTGGAGTATAAATGTCGTTTTTTTTCTAAACTTTTTATCAAAATGTGTAAATCCCTCCGGTATGAACTACACATTTTGAAAGGCAGCTAAATAAGTATATAGGATAATAGCAACTCATTGATTTGAAGCAAAGTACTTATCTTTTACCAATGGATGTAAAGCTTAAAGTTTGAATAAAAACAACTCGAAACTACTAAAATATATAACCAAAGATATTTTATGATACCAAATATTGCACATTCGTCACAAGTTGGACTCAGAACAGATCCGTTGTACAAAATATTGTAATTATTTTATTTAAAAAACTAAACAGCTTGTGTTCAGAAAGAAACGGGACTCCTCCCCTTCCCCCATACGTGTCATATAGGTAAATAGCGGTTATTGAATCAAAAATCTGTTCTTTCTTATAAGATATCCTGCTGCAATATGACAATGTAAGAACCTATACTACGTTTTGTGTGATGACTGCAAATTAGAAAATTGGATGGACTGACCGTCCTTATAGGCGAATAATGTAACAATCTGGCAAAGTGGATAACCAGAAAGACCTCGGCATCCTTTGAAAGAGGGACTTACATGCTGAATCAATAAGCAAATGGGTCAATTTGCAATCTAAAAAAAAATTATTGGAAAGTCACGTTACATTAAAAATTGAACATGAACACCCAAAAATGAATGTTATTAATGAATAGCAGTTCGTCCAATTCGGTCCAATATATTGTCAATCCACCATATTTTCCATACCATTATCCAATAATGATTGAAATATGAACCTGTTATGTTAACAGCATAATATTTTTAAAACAGCTTGACGCATCTGAATTCATAAAAGAGCAGGTTCATTTAATGATTTTATGTGATGAAGATCAGGGAACTTAGTAAGAAACTAACAGGGCTTTATGTTGAAAACGATGTATAGTTCCCACACCATTAATGTATATTTGTTGTAACATTATAAGGAAAGCCTACTGAAAATAAAATTCCGTTTATTTCTGTACATTCCTCTAGCATAAGTGTGTATTAACGTACAATAATTTTATCAACTTGAGGTAGAGAATATAACGCAATACTTAAAGGGGTCATTGTTATATTTGTATAATTTGTATATTTGAGCGTTGTTTTTGTTTCGTTTTTGCTAACACTTGTGGATCTAATAGAGGTATATTCGTACGATAATAAACTTATTAAATAAAAACCATCTGAAATACTAGCTTAAGAGTTAAATATTATTACACACTCACGTATGCTGCCGACAATATTCTGCTGTCCTTTGATGTCGAAGAATAGAAGAATCAGAAGAAAACCTTCTACAGTCCATCTCATTATCTGGATATAGAAAAGTATGAAACAAACAGTAACTCCTGAGTTACTTAAACTGCTCAATAATGGCTGAAATACGGAAAATGTTATATTACCAACTTAATGCTGGTAAAATAGTACCTACGGTTTATATGTTTGTTTGTGGAATTTCGCTCAAAACCACTCGGGGGCTATCAGCGCTAGCTGTCCCTAATTTTAAAGTAATAGACTAAAGGGAAAGCAGCTAATCAACACCACTCACCGCCAACTTGCGGGCTACTCTAATTGAATAGTACACTAACAGCTCTTAAGATTCAGAGCGAATTCCAAAAATGAGTAATTCTTCTTATAAAACCGGTTTATGGTAGACTCAAACTAAACGAGCATTCCAACTAAAAAAAACTGGTCGTTATGGTAGATTTAATCTGAGAAGGCATTTCAACTCATAAAACTGGTCCTTATGATAGATTCAAACTAAACGAACATTTCAACTAAAAACTGGTCCTTATGGTAGATTCAAAATGAGCAGACATTTATACTCAGAAAACTGATCCTATTGGTATATTCAAAATGAATAAGATTTATACTCGGGAATCTGGCCCTTATTTCAAAATAAACGAGCATTTCTACTTAGAAAACTGATCCTTATGGTAGATTCATAATGAATGACCTTGGCCGGATTAAGAGCACAGTAAGCCCATAGGCAACTTCAGTTCTGTAGGCATCCTTTTCTCCACAAGCCCTCAATTTTGTTTTGACATTGAATTTTTACCCATGAAAACAATCTTTTGACAAATATAATTATTTCAAAATACTACAGAGTTCAATTAAATTTTTTTTCTGAGAAAGCTGTTAAAAATGATAATAATAATGTGTGCTCCTTGACACTAATCTCATAAGCAGCCGCCTATTTTGTCTTTTGGTTAATCTGGTTCTTTGAATGAGCATCTCTACAAAAAAAATATTTTGGTAGATTCAAATTGATCGAGCATTTTAACTAAAAAACTGGTCGTTACGGTATATTCAAACTGAGCAGGTATTTTAACTCAGAAAACTGGTCCTTTTGGTAGATTCAAGTTGATAGCATTTATACTCAGATAACTGGTCCTTTTGGCAGATTCAAGTTCATCGAGCATTTATACTCAGAGAACTGGTGCTTTTGGTGTATTCAAACTGATCGAGCATTTATACTCAGAGAACTGGTGCTTTTGGTGTACTCAAACTGATCGAGCATTTATACTCAGAGAGCTGGTCCTTTTGGTAAATTCTTTTAGGGCATCTACCTGCCTTTCATTCTTCAATCAAAGATATAATTCTAAATGAACACGAACTCCTATAATTGTTTACACCTCTTCCTTTCTATAACACTACAAGCATTCTGAAACTAAGGTAGTGAAATTGTTTTAATTTAAAATAAAGAAAATAATATAATAATTAAACACTGACTAAAATCCACCTATTAATGTTAAGATAAATAAAACAATTATTTATTCAGTAAATTCAGGCGTGGTAGTAATGAAACGGGCAATAAATACACAATAAATATCCACAAATATAGAAATGTTTACAATAAATGAAAATACGTATTCCGAGGCTTCGTGGATGAAATTAACTTCAAGAATGAGTAGAATAACATGGCAATATATTAGAAACGTTCTGAATTTTCTATACATCTTACGTAATGTAACTAAAACTTTGAATACCTTAAATTATGCTTAAAGTTACCCACAAATGACTAATGTTATTTCGTGTTTATCGTTCTGTGATATTTTAATGTCATTTCTTGCTTAAGTAACAAAACACCAACTCGTTTTAGAGTAATTATAAAATTATTGATTTTCGTTAGTACTTACTGTCGGAGCACTTGGATTCAGAGGTGACACAAGTTTCACTCTCAAATCTCCTCACTACGAGGATTGTAGGTTTGTCTTGCTCTTTTATAGTTTTAGTCAAGTTCTATTCCAATTATTTCTGTCTTCTGATTTGTTCCTTACCCTCCTAATGTCTATCTAAATTAGCATCTCGTGACAGGTAACCACCAGAACCTTACCACTAACGTTACGTCACGATAGTGTTCAAACAGATTTAATAGGCGGTCAATGTTCGGTTTTTGTTTCGGAGCAAATACCAAACACCTTCTAGCGTCGAATTAATTTTTTTTTCGGTGACCTTGATGGCCGTGATACCATCATACTGAGAGACAGAATTACGTCACATGGTTATTGTTCCTTTACTAATTTACTTCATAAATTATATATATATGTGTGTGTGTGATCTACTGGAAAATATTTTCAGAATGTTTTTCTGTCAAATATGATAAAAATACAAACGTCAGAGGTAACACAATTAGATTGATAGACGTTTTATCTGATATATTGGTTTGTTGTAATTCGTGCACAGTTACTCAAGGGCTCTCTTGTGTAGTCGTCCCTAATTTTGAAGTAGAGATTAGAGGAAATACAACTATTCAACAACACTTACCGCCAACTGTTGGGCTACTCTTTTATCAACAAATAGTGGAATTTATTATCACCTTATAAACTACCACAGCTGATAGACTAAGTACCTTCGTCGACAGATTTTGATCTCACAATCTACGTATTACGAGTCGAGCGCCCTAATCACAAGGCCATGCAACATATTAGAACATATAAAATCATGGTAGATAAATATACAGCTCCAAGAAACTTCATTGCCATTTTTGTTCTTACAAAATTCTTCTTTTTCTGAGTTTTAATGTATGCTATGTCAATAAAAACTTATAAGTCTGAGATAGCGTAGGTCTTTTTAATTTTAAACTTTTAACTTGACTAAAAAAGTTATTTAAATACAATTTGCTCAAGAAATTAAACATTGGATAAAGGAATCAAGAGACCTTATGCATCCGTCATAGATGTTTGTTTTAAGTAATGTGGCTTCTAGAACAAATCACAAAAATCAAATCATCTACTCTGCTATGAAATGTATAGCTTTGTTAGATTTCTGCGTATTTGGAGGCCTTCAATTTATTCATTGAAATACCTTTAACGATGGATAATTTATTTACAAATTTGCCAGTTATGCCAACAAATATTAATGCTTAGGTACAGATAACTAAACGGGGTTTGAAAGGGTTAGTGCTGCGCTTGAGTAAAAATGTGACTGAATAGACATATTTAACAGATCAGATGTTGTTTTCGACATATATGCGTAACTTTACATGCGTTTTTCTCGCTCATATCTTTTGCTTTACATCTGTTTTTTATCATGTACCATTTATGTAATAAAGTTTTACTATCAACTTATAATGGCTATATATTTTTGTCTACCGAGTAGTAAAACGTTGAATCTTTCCTA